CGCAAAAGCAATCATTTTTTTTTAATGTTAAATAATCTGACGATGGAGCTTCTGCAAGTGAAATAGTAGTTTTCTTGCATACTCTTATGGTGAGACAATTTTTTGTAATTTTTTGCTAAAAATATTAGAGTGAATTGAGAATAATTTTCAATAATTAATTACTTGATAAATTTTTAAGGCTTATTGGATAACACAAAATTAAGATGGTACCATTTTTCGATGGGGCGTTGTGATGGTGCTATAACGTTCCTCACATGTAACCGAACTCCCGAACCCTATTGTGGTTAGTAGACCTAAGCCTATTCTTTTAGGGACTCTTAAACTTAGGTGTTCCCTGAAAGGATAGATTCTTTAGGTGGTCAATCGCACCTAGATAAAAAAAGATTGGTGGCGACTTCTTCAAGTCAATGTCTAGCGATAGATCCCCGGATCTAGACGTTATGACAATTAAAATTGCTTGATTTTTGAATCAAATGGAATGGCATTAAAGTTGATATTAGAAGATTGTGAGTTCTAAAGAGTTTATGTATGTGATGTCTTATTTAATCAAGCATAAGGGTAAAAATTTTAAAGATAGATTAAAATTTAAAAAAATGAAGAAGATTAAAAATATTATCACATATTTTATTATAATATATTTAAAAAATTAATAGATTAATATAATAAATAATAAAATATTTAACAATATTTTAATAACATTTAAAAATTTTAAAAGTTCATTAACAATGTATAAAATAATAATTTTACAATAATTTTTCTTTACTCACCATAAAATAAAAAGACTTCGCTTTAATAATTTTACATTCTAAAATATATAAGAAATTTCTATAAAAGAAGTCTACAATAAAGTGATATCAAAATAAATATCTTAACATCGAAATACATTTATGGTTAAATTTGACTTTAAATTTATTTATTTTTTGGTCAATAAAAAGAGTTTTAACTGTTTTCTTTTTAACTATGTTGTTGTTTAGTAAAAGAAGGCTTATCATCGACTAAAGAGTAAATAGCTTCTGCGGGTTTTAAATTTTGGATTGTATATATGTTTGATCTATATACTTTTAAATGTCATTTGTTGAATTTTAATTTTTCAATTTTGTATCAAAATACTCTTTTCATAAAAAATTTTGTTAAATTTGATCTTAAAGATTGGTTAACATTTTTTGTTAGCACAGATGATCGATACATGGATGCTAAAATTATTTACATTTTTGTATTTAAGTTTAATTTAAAAATATATATTATATATAAAAAATTAAAAAAAACTTTAAAATTAGAAAATTTTAAATTTTATTTGTTTTACATTATAATATATTATCTAGTTTTTAAATTTTGTTTTATTTTATTTATTACATTAGAATACTAGATAAAATATAAAAATAAATTATACTTAAAACTTAAAAAAACTTATTAAAAATATAAAATTTATTTATTTTAAACTATAAAATTGATAAAATATATTAAAGTTATATCATATTTAAAAAATTCAAAAAACCATTTAAAAATAAAATTTTGAAATTTATTTATTTTAAATCATAAAACTAGATAAAATATACAAATATATTATATCTAAAAAATTAAAAAAAACTTCATAAATTAGAAAATTTTAGAATTTATTTATTTTAAACTATAAATTTTGACAAAATATATTAAACTATATTATATATAAAAATTAAAAATATTCAAATAGAAGTTTTTTATATTTGTTTATTTCAAATTATTATATTTGATAAAAATATTTAAGTATATATTATATTTTAAAAAAATAAAAATCTTCTTAAAAAATAGAAAATTTTAAATTTTTTATTTGAATTATAATATTTATAAATATATTAAAATTTTATATTATGTTTAAAAAATAAAAAAATTATTTTCGTTAATTTTTTATTATTAAAAATAGTAAACAAAATTTTTTAAAATAATATTTATTTTTTTATCTTTTTTATTTTTTACTTTTCTTTCGACTATCATATCAATTATTTTTTATTAAAATCACATTAAATACTTAAAGGTGAAATTAATGATTAAATTGATAGAAAGACGAACTCGTTATAATAGTTGATAAATCGGAACTAATAAGTTATGTCTTGAAGTTTAAAGACCATTTCGGTATGCGTCACAAATTTAAGGACAAAAGACATTATTTACGCTATACTACAATAATTTGAAGAGTTAATATTATAAATGATTTTTAAATTATAATAAAATATTTAACATAATGTTTAAATTTTAAAAAAATTATAATGTAATATATAAATTATAATTTATTAATTAATAAGATATTTAAAAAAATTATTTATTATTTGAAATTAATTGAGAGTAAATATTATTATCCCTCACAACCACCAGTCTGGGCTCTCAGGGCATAGGTAGGCAGGGCAACTGTAGCAAAAGTTGCTGGCAGTTCAAAGACAATGAAAGGGGGAGAGACGGAGAATTAAGCGAGTGGGTGGGTTTGTGGGGGCGGAGATTGAATTTGGAGTTGGGGATTAGTTAAAGACTTCTGCTTTTGGGGTTGAAAATGGGTCCGTTTTGCAATAAATGCCGTTGTTTCTGCTTCCATTTCCTGTCCCAAAAACAACAAAACAAAAACTAACCCAGTACTTCGTTCTTTGCCTTTTTTTTTTTTGTGTTTGAATTTCGGCCCTATAAATAAAATTTTATTATTACTGTATTACACTTACCAACCAACCATGGAGTCGTGAAATAACCAACAAACCAAGTGACTTACTTAGTCTGTTACTCTTGAATGTATTGTTTATATGCAGATGTCCTATCTCTGTCGCTATAAAGAACCCTGCCCACTCCCTCTTTATTACTTCTTTATTTCCATTTCCCTTCCATTATTATTTTTGCCTGTTCATTTAAACAAAGCCTACCCAACATTTCTTTTTTCTTTTTTTTTTTTCTTGTTGGTTTTCTTATTTATTACTCTCTTCATCTTCAAAATACTCGTTTCTTTTTCTCACTTTCTCTTTTTGCAAAACCAAAAAATATCTTACCTTGTTTTTGGAAGGAGGCAGTGTGTGTTGTAAAAAATCCTCAAATTTGGGGAAAGAAACAAAAATAGAATGGCAGAAGAAGAGGAAATGAGTGTGGGTGAGGTGACTGGTCCATTTCGTCAGGTTCTTTTTGTCTCTGCTGGTGCAAGCCATTCTGTTGCTCTCCTCTGTATGCTCCTTTTCTCTTTCTTCTTCTTTTCCTTACTGATTTTCTGTTGCTGACGCTTTTTTTTTTTGTGGACACCTTAGCTGATCTTGATTGGAAATGCCCCATCTTATACTTAATATTCTGTTTATTGAATTCACTGAAATTAAAAATCTTGCCAAAACAGGGCATGCTGATTGTAGTTCAGATTTTTTGTTTCAAAAACTCACTTCAATATACTGGAAAGTAATGTCATTTGCAATATATTTTTTTAAAGTTTTTGATCAATCAAAGATTTCCTAAATGTTTCATTTTGGAAGAAACTTGTTGGGTCTTTTTATCTTATAATAGTTTAGTTCCGTTTGCTTGTTTTGTATCTTGATCAGATTTTAGCATTACCCGTTACTGCATTGTTCTGATTTGGTTATTATTCAATTGGATGCTTTATTGTTTCTGTCAGTTGTTTCTTGCTGGAGTTTGTTCTGTGTGCACAGTACTGCTTTGCTGTTTCCGATTTTGTTATAGTTGCGCTGCATTCCTTATTTCATTTTGGCTATGATTGGTTGAGTGCTTGTAAATTACATGCATATCATCTTATATTTTTCAAATGATATTAAATTACTTTGACTTTTTTCCATCTCATGGAACTTGTCCATCTTATCTCTTGACTTTAGGCCAATTGTCATATGATTTCCACTGTTACATGTTGGACAATATTAGTGATTGATTTCATGTTTGATTTTTCTCGTGTGAATAAATTAATGCCTTACATCTTGAATAGGATCCGAGAAAAGAAAAAGGTGCTTCTGTTAGAATAATTTTTAATATGTAATAAAAATTGGATGAATGGTCTAGGGTTTCTTGCCAGTTCAAAAACAAGACTTTTCTGTCATATCACCTTGAGTTAGGCCTATTAAGGTTTAGGACATCAATTAGGATATGAATTTGTACTGTTAAATACTTGACAACTGAAATCTTTCAGTGTCTCTTACGTTTATCTATAACATGTTTCAATGTGAATAAACCGATCCAACATGGCTTTTTATTTTCTTTGTGCATATGCCATAGAAAAAAAAAAAACACTTCATCTAGATTAACTTTTAGTATGAAGGAAAAATAGTATGTACGGTTTTATTGTGATGGTTAAGGAACTTTAGGAGTTTATGAAGCACCACTATTCCTTATTTTCCCGTTGTTAGTGCTGCTGCCTACTATTTTCATCAAAGGTCACTATTATGTTCATGGATATGCATACTGTTAGGCTATTCAGCTATGAGAAATTGGTTTAACTTTCCCAAGAAACCAAGATGTTCTTATCTTAATAATTAATAGTGTGTCTCATCTACATCTGTTTGGATCATTGTCCTATGATGCTGAAGATTAGTTGAGAGCTTGAGGCATAAATAGTTTCATCACAATAGTTAAGCCGCAGATCCTTTTCTCATTTAAGCTTTACAGACTCTATTTTTCCCTCATTCTTATTGCTTCCATTAACTAAAACAAACAGAAAAGTTTGGTATGTGTTATCTTATTGCTTCTCTATTTTGAGGTTTATCATAATTTCTGTCTTTTGAGTCTGTGTACTTGTATCTCAAGGTTACATTCTGAAATTTATTTGTCTTACTTTATGCATTCATGTAACTTGGATAAATCTACTTAAGCCTATAATCTTGTCCTTGATCATTTGCAGCTGGAAATATTGTTTGCTCCTGGGGTCGAGGAGAGGATGGGCAGTTAGGCCATGGGGATGCAGAGGATCGACTTTCTCCTACACAATTAAGTGCTTTAGATGGACGTGACATAATATCTGTTACTTGTGGAGCTGATCATACAACTGCATATTCATTGTCACTTGCGGAAGTTTATAGTTGGGGATGGTATGCACTTCATCCTTCATAGTCTCTCAGACTTTTTTTTTTTTTTTTTCTTTTCAGTTAATTTAAGAAACATACACTTTTTTCTCTCAGATAATACATGGTTTCTAGCATGAGAGTGATAAGCGGTTTGAAAAGTTGGCTATGATACAAAACTGAGATTGTTTTGTTGATTTCAATCTCTCAAAAGTAAAATGGGTAGTCTAATTACTTTATTAAATGTTGATTAATGGTTGTGAATATGTATGCAACAAAGATTTTCTTTGTTGTAAATCTAACCTAAAGGTTCATTTGATTCAGATGTGCTGACTTTTAGAGGTGAATTTGATCAAGCTGGTTGTTAGTTTGTTGGGTTCATTAAAAGCTTCGTCAAGTCACTTTAACTATCAAGTCAAGTAGATAGTTAACTGACAGCTTAATTTTGGTTAAAGGTGGAAATGAAACCATTCAAGGTTGTTCAGTATAATTACAAGGACGATGGTTTTGTAGCTGATGGGGAACGTAAATGAATGTTTAGAAAGTCATGATGTGTAATAATTGAGCTAGTGCGCTCAAGGATGGAACTAGGGTTTTTAGATTTGGGGGCAAATGTCATATATAAGATTAACAGTTAGTTTTTTAATAAAATATATCAAATAATCTACTAAAATAACTCATTAAGCAAACATTAAAGGAAAACTGTAATGTGAAATTTTTCATTAGTTGAAATGAACACAATAATTTTTCATCATAAAAACCATCTATAATCATTGTTGCATCAAATTTTTGAACATTTTTCTTTTCAATATAAATAATTAAAGAGTCTATGTTATAAACAAAGTGCATAACTATTAAAAGAAAGAAATATTATTTCATATGTTTAAACAAGATTGAAGATTATTTAATTACAATGGACTTAAAAAGTTTTAATTTTGTAGAAGTTGGAGTAGTAAAGTTTTAATTCTGGATAAGTAAGGAAAGGCTATTTTCTGAAAAACAGTGGTGCTCAGATTTATGTTTCTTTTGGGGGTTTTGTGACACTGTAGGAACTTGTGGGGTTTTATGGTTGGATTATTCTAAGTGGATCAGAAAGAAGGTAGACTAAATAGTCAGTTGTGGATCAAGGGAAGTAAGGAAACAAAATTTTGTCTTTCCTATTTTCTTGTATGGACTTTCAGTTCAATGCAAAAGCTCCACAAATATTTGTGAAAGTTCTAGAGAGATGATCTTACGAGATGGAACCAGAACGTTCTTGTCATCACCTCAGCATAGTAGCTATGGTGCTTTCTGTCATTTACAATGAAATTAAAAGGAGAAATACTATTAAATGGAAATAAGAAAAATTCAACCTTAGTGCATCTATGGGAATGATTAGGATGGCAGCATTGGCTCTGTGAATTGGGAGTCAATGTCATGATGTAGCTGGAGGTTGTAATTTATAAGATGCTTTAAATGTTATGTGGTCTTTGAGATACCTTCCTAAAAGAATCTGCCTTAAAAAAGAAGTTTCTTCTCTTATGATGTCCTCATGAATCTCAATGATTGGCTATGGACTGTTTCGTGTTAAAGTTTATCCTTTCTCATTCAGGTTTACTGCATTCTTAAGTTAATAATCCATATTTATGTGGGTTGTTGCTTGTTTGTCTCATCAACTCTTCATGCAAAAACCATTTTATGCAGGAATAAGCATTTTGGTATGTCTCATTTTAAGGGTTTTATATTTCCCTTCTCTCTTTATTCATTTTTACTTGTTCATGTAGCATTTTAAAACAGCATATTTGTAATCTTAGAAGTAATGTTGTTAATATCATATTCTCAAAATTTTAGCAATTTTTGAATCCTCAAATTTTACCGGTAACATCATTTATTGGTCAGTTCCAAGTTTCTTTTTCTCTAGTTTGTCAATTTTCAACTCTAATTGTATGACTTTTTTTATTGTTACTAATACCAGGGGTGACTTTGGAAGACTTGGTCATGGAAATTCTAGTGACTTGTTCACTCCTCAACCAATAAAAACATTACATGGTCTGAGGATAAAACAAATTGCTTGTGGAGACAGCCATTGTTTAGCTGTGACGATGGAAGGGGAGGTGCAGAGGTTTGTATGGTCTTTTAGATCTTTCTTCTTGCTTTTACATTTTTACAATCTGATTAGTATAGACTTTTTTTTCCCAATTTCTCCCTATAGTTTAATTTGTGGTGCATAGAGAAGCTACTATAGTAGTTTGAACTTGAAGTGGCCAAGCTTGGTATCAAGTTTTTAATGCACCTATTATACTGAAGTAAGGGATTGGTAATATATATTGGTTCTTGTGATCTTCATCAAATAGGCTGTCATTGTAATCGAAGGTAGTTCAAGGGATTGGTAATAGATATTGGTCATTGTGATCTTCATCAAATATGCTATGGAAAATGAGAGTGTATTGAAAAACTTCTCTATTGAATTATACAAGCAGCTTAGGTCTATATACTAGGAGACTAGAAGATAAACTAGGAAACTAAATCTTCTTAGAGTTGATCCTTATAATTGAGGGATTGCCTATCCCTAATTCTCTATCTTTAATTCTAGGAATACAAAATTTGCATCCTTAATTCTAGGGATACAAATATTTATAGATTTCCAATAACTAATTACAACTGTAATTATATGTTTTCCCACATGCCTCTTTAAGTTGGTGAATAGGTGTTTATCATTCCTAGTTTGGAAATAATCTCTTGAAATGTTGCATTGTTGAGACCTTTAGTCAACACATCTGGAAATTGGCCCTTGGTTGAGACATACACTGTCTAATTTCTACTTTATGAAGTGTCAACCTACTTCAATGTGTTTTGTCAACCTACTTCAATGTGTTTTGTTCTATCATAACGCACAAGGTTGTGTGCAAAGCTTATTATAGACTTGTTATAGCAGTAAAGTCTTATTAGTCCATCTTACTTGATCTTTAGGTCTTCTAGGATGATTTTTAACCATAGTAGCTCACAAATTCCTTGAGCCATTGCTTTAAACTTTGCTTCAGCACTTGATCTTGCCATCACATTTTGTTTTTTACTCCTCAAAGTCATAAGATTACCCCCTAGGAAAGTGCAGTAGGGATCTTCTATCAATTACTAAACTTGCATAATCAACATCTGTATATGCCTCTAGTGCCACCCCTATATTTCTTTTGAACAAGATTCCTTTCATAGGATTGGTCTTTAGGTAATGTGGCTTACGATGGACAGCCTGTAGATGCACTTCTCTAGGATTATGCATAAACTAACTTATCTCTCACAACATATGCTATATGAGGTCTTGTATGTGAGAGATAAATGAGTCTTCCAACTAATCTCTGGTACATCTCTCTATCCACAGTAGCATCTTTATTAGTTTTTTCTATAGGGGTGTTTGCAGGTTTACATGCCAACTTCCTAGTTTCCTTCAAAAGATCTATCGCACATTTTTGTTATGAGATGAAAATACCATGTTGTGAGTGAGCCATTTCAAGTCCTAAGAAGTACTTCAATCTCTCTAGCTTTGTTATGTCAAATTCTCTAGCTAAACATTGTTTTAGAGCTTCTTTTTCTTTTTTGTCATCCTCGGTTACAATTATATCAACATATACTAAAAGAATTGTGACTCTCTTTAAATCTGAGTGCTTGATAAGTAGTGTGTGATCTCCTTGACTTTACTTATATCCCATTGCTAGCATTACTTTTGCAAATTTCTTGAACCTGACCCTAGGAATACTTTGATTGTTTCTAGTTGACCTCTAAATTCCAGTGGGACCTTAATATATATTTCTTCTTCCAAATCTCCATGTAGAAAAACATTCTTTACATCAAATTGTTGAAGATGCCGATTGTAATTTGTAGCCAAGGATAATAAAATCCTAATTGTATTCATTTTGGCAATTGAGCAAAAGTTTCTTGATAATTCACTCTATAAGTTTAAGTGTAGCTCTTGGCCACCAACCTGGCTTTATACCTTTCAATAATACCATCTGCCTTGTTTTTTACAATGAAAGCCTATTTACACCAAACTAAACTTTTTCCTTTAAACAACTCTACTAGTTCCCAAGTCTTATTTTTCTTTAAGGCCTACATTGGTAGTTTGATGATCTGCCTCTATTTCTTAGCGGATAATGCCTCCATTTCTTATTTTTCTCTTTACATCAAATTGTTGAAGATGCCATTTGTAATTTGTAGCCAAGGATAACAAAATCCTAACTATATTCATTTTGGCAACTAGAGCAAAAGTTTCCTGATAATCACTCAATAAGTTTGAGTGTAGCTCTTAGCCACCAACTTGGCTTTATACCTTTCAATAGTACAAACCGCGTTGTATTGTGAAAACCCATTTACACCCAATTGAACTTTTCCTTTAAGCAATTTTACTAGTTCCTATATCTTATTTTTCGTTAAGGCCTCCATTTCTATTTGATGGCTCGCCTCCATATTTCATCGGATAATGCTTGGATAATGTAGTTAGAGTATAACTAGTGTTTAGGGTCATAAGGAAATTTTTGTCAGATGGTGAGAACTTTCAAAAGACACAAAATGAGAGATTGGGTGTAGTGGATGTTTAGTACATTTTTTGGTTCCTTTTTCAATTGCAATAGGTAGATCATAATCATTAGTTTTAGCTTTAGGATATGCATGCTCATTTTGAGAAAGATGTAATTACCTCATTTCTAGAGTTAGGATCAAGTTCTTGGACTTGCATTGGTTCAAGAGCTGGAACTTTCCTCCTTGAGTACACTTGTAATTTTGTCATAGAATCAAGAATAATATTATCCTTAGTCATAGGTTCTGTGCTTGGAATGGTTTTGGACTCAAATTTAGTGTTTGACTTGGACTTAGAAAAATTAATGGGTTGAGATGTTGATATGGAAGGAAATTCAAGCAAAAAGAAGCCTTTATCCTTATCTTTCAGGAATGAGTCTCCCTTGAAGATAAGGTTAAGTAAAAGATGGTTTATTTTCTTCAAATGTGAGATCTATAGATGCATAGAATTTTTTGGTAGGAGGATGGTAGCACTTATACCTTTCATGCGTTGATGAATACCTTACAAAAATACATTAATTGCCCATGGATCCAACTTTCCCCTATTATGACTTCGAACATGAATACATTAATTGCCCATGGATCCAACTTTCCCCTATTATGACTTCGAACATGAACAAATGACGTATAACCAAATATCCTAGTTGTGCAGCTGTTTGTGGTCTTTAAGTTAGGATAAAATTGTGAGAGTATTTTAATAAGAGTTTTAAATCCTAGATTCCTTGAAGGTAACTTGTTTATAATGTTTGTGGTTGTGAGAACAACTTCCCTAGTAGGATTTGGGTACATTTTCTTGAAAAATGAAGGCTCAGGTTGTGGCTAGTAGATGGCCGTTTTTCCTTTTGTCATTTCATTTTGCTACGGAGTATTAACACATGATGATTCATTAATAATCTTCTTTTTTTGGAAATAGGTATAGACTTTGGTTGAAATAATCTCTTGCATTATTAGACCTAAACCTCTTGATTTTCACTCCAAATTGATTTTATATCATGTTATGTAAGTTTAAGCACACACTATTCACATCTAATTTAGATTTAAGTAGAAAAATCCAAAGATCTGGTGCAGTCATTTATGAACAAAACAAATCACCTTGCACCAGAAAATATTAGAAATTGTAAAGTGACCCAATATGTCACTATGAATTAAATAAAAAGGAGTATAACTACTTTTATTACTAATTGAAAAATGCACACGTCTATGCTTCGCAAGCTCACAAACATCATAATGAAAATTTTTAACATTTAAACTTTTGAACAAAAAGGGTGAAGAAATTCATGAGAATTTTATTTATGAATTCTTAAGAAACTTTCTAGAGTACAAGAGTATATATATAGCTAGAACATTAAATTTGGCAAATCTTATGATATCCTAAAGATAATAACAAATCACCTAAAAATCCTCTAACAATAAATGTAAACTACCAAGTAGGAAATAGGTCAATCAACCAAATCCTTTTTATTTAGGAAACAACCAAAATACTAAATGAATGACACCTAATCAAATCTGGTTAGGAATTGGTTTTTCACACTCCTCCTCAAGTTGGTTGGTAGATATCAATCATATCTAACTTGGACTTCAAATTCTCAAAATTGCCACGATGAAGAGCCTTGTTGAGGATGTCGGCTGTTTGATGTTCTGTTGGAGTGTAGACTAGTTTGATTGCCTTCCTTAGTCTTCTCTTTGATGAAGTGGCGATCAATCTCTACATGTTTCGTTTGATCATGATGATCAAGGCTCTTGGCAATTTTAATAGCTGCTTTATTATCAAAATAGTTTCATTAAATTCCCAGTTGACTTCTTTAGTTCTGTAGCATTCTCTCAAGCCAAATTCCTTCACAAATCCCATGAGATATAGCCCTAAATTCAGCTTTAGCACTACTTCGAGCTACCACTGCTTGTTTCTTGCTCCTCAAGGTGACCAAGTTGCCCTACACATATGTACAATACCCTGTAGTTGACCTTTGATTTGTCACAGAACCAGCCCAATCTGCATCTGAGAAAATCTCCACATCTCTATTTAGTGTTTTTCTAAAGTGCAACCCTTTGCCTGGATTTTTTTTTCAAGTATTGAAGGATTCGTTATACTGCCTCCATGTGTGTTTTTATAGGATGGTTCATAAATTTACTCACCATACTTATAGAGAAGCCAATGTTAGGTCTAGTGTATGCCAAATAAATTAATTTTCCCAAAGGTCTATGGTATCTATTTTGGTTTGCAAAAAGACTTCCATTTTCGGTTCCTATCTTGACATTTGGGTCCATTGGAGTATCCATTGGTTTACATCCGAGCATCCTTGTCTCTTTGAGAAGATCAAGTACATATTTTCATTGTGAAACAGAAATACCATTTCTTGATTGACCTACTTTCATGCCAAGAAAATATCAAAGCTGTCCCAAGTCTTTTATTTCAAACTCTTTAGCTGAAAGAGTCTTCAATCCAACTATTTCCTCTTCATAATCTCCTGTGAGGACAATATCGTCAACATAAACAATCATAATAGCAATCTGGCTATTTGGTGAATGTTTGACAAACATAGTGTGGTCGGATTGGCA